TTTGCCCCGTAATTTGCTGCTCGTGCGGCAGACCTGCACATCCCGGGAGCGCCGCCAAGCGGCTCCGTGTGTGTGTCACACTCTGTTTCTTAGAGTTCTAAGGGTTCTTAGTTTTGCAAAAGCAGGGGACCAGGCAGGATACATCGTCGCCTGGTCAACGAAGCTGGCGATGTATCCGAGGATATGGAAATGGGACGCCATGTCCACGTACCTGCTAAAATTTGAACTGTTGACCTCCTCCTTCGCTGTGGTTTGTTTGCATGGTGTTTAAGCCTTTTCTATGCACGGCGTGAATTCGATCGGCTACGTATTCAGTAACTAGTTTTCTGCAGTCACGCGTAAACCTTTGTTCAAACACCTTCAAGCACTCTGACTTTTCGCCTTTCGGTTCACTCTTTCCTTTCCTTGGTCTGCTAAGTATTCAGTAACTAGTTTTCTGCAGTCACGCGCGAACTCTTTTGTTAAAACACTTTCAAATCACTGGACCAGCCGCCATTCCGTTCCTTCTTCCTTTTTCGTGTGGAACAGAGTTAACGGAAAACCCTATGACTACTAAGTGTGTCTCTCTCTCTCTCTCTCTATCTGTGTTCGACACTTCTTAGTGCTCAACGACTTACGTGAACAACTTCTCTACTCAAAAAACCACGACGCCGAGATCTCGTCCCGTTCCGCACCATGCCCGTCTCTTTGTCTGGTCCGCGCGCCGTCTCCGCGCCTCGACCGTGACGTCTCGCCGCTTCTCCCGTCGCTGGGGCTCGCCCGGTCCGACCCAGATGCGTCCAGATCCGGAGTCGCTGGCAGTCGGCAGTCGCTGGCGGAACTGGGCGACGGACGCGGGCGCGTGGGGCGGGTCACTTCGCACATCCGTAGCTTTCGGCTCACCTACCCTCCTGGCTTGAGTTGGCCTACTATCCACAGATCGCTCTGCATCTGCATCTGCTGGTGCATCTGCAGACTGGAGGCTAGATCTGCTGGGCCGGCTGGGTTCAGCGGGACTTCCTTCCTCGGATCGCTCTGCATCTGCATCTGCAGACAGGGGGCTAGATCTGCTGGGCCGGCTGGGTTCAGCGGGACTTCTTTCCTCAGATCGCTCTGCATCTGCATCTGCTGGTGCATCTGCAGACTG